TAGATACCGACCATGCACTGGTCCGCGCTCGGGTGTGCTTACGACTGAACGGACGTAGGAAACAGCTGGCGGTAAAACCATCACGTCCCCAGCTCGATCAGGAAACTAAATCCGTATTTGAGGAAGAACTAGCTAAACACATATCTGTGTTCGACAGCTGTGCTCACCCTGAAGAAGCTTGGAAAAATATCCAGTCAGCCATAGATACAGCTGTAAAAGCTGTGAATAAGGTAAACCCAAAGGTGAGTAAAAACCACTGGATCTCCACCGCCTCATCCGAACTGATAGATGCTAGAAGACTTATTCCGGCGAGCACCGAATTCAATGAGGAGCGAAAGCTGCACAAGAGGAAACTTACGAAAAGTGTCCGCAAGGACCGTGAACAGTGGTGGGCGACAAAAGCCAAAGAGATGGAGAAAGCTTCGAGGATAGGCAACACCAGACAACTCTTTGGACTCATCAGGGAAACGGGTGGGAGAAGACCAATCATCAGTGAGACAATCTCGGAAAAAAATGGCACTATAATTAGCTCACAGGATAGACGACTGGATCGTTGGAAAGAGCATTATGAGGAGCAGTTTAATTTGCCCACAGCCACGCTCAACCTTCCGAGCATCCAACACCTCCCTGAATGGGATATAAACACAGGTCCTCCGTCACTAACTGAGGTTACTAAAGCTGTCACCAATCTGAAACTAGGCAAAGCAGCGGGACCTGATGGAATGACTCCAGAGGTATTTAAGTACGGTGGAGACAGCTTACTGTCCGGATTAACTGAGGTACTAGGCAGCGTCTGGGAATCAGAAGAAGTCCCATCGGGTTGGTGTAAGTCACTGATTATCCCCATATACAAGAAGGGAGATAAGTCTTCCTGTGATAATCACAGAGGGATTAGCTTGACTAATATAGTATCTAAAGTCTTAGGCTCAATAATCATGCGTAGACTGAGTGGTGCTCGGGAAGCACAAACACGAGAGAGCCAGGCAGGCTTTAGACCAGGAAGAGGGTGTATTGATCATATCTTCACCCTCCGACAGATTCTAGAACATAGTCATTCCTACCGGCATCCAACAGTCATTATATTCTTGACCTAAAGGCAGCATTCGACTCTGTCGATCGGGAAGTTCTCTGGAGATGCTTGGCTGTAAAGGGAATTCCAAGAAAATATATTGCACTGATTAAGGCACTCTACTCGTACTCATGCCATCAGCCAGGTGAGGGCTTACGGCGAGCTGTCATCTGAACTGATGACGACCAGTGGTGTCCGTCAAGGATGCCCATTATCTCCTTTTCTATTCAACTTCATCATAGATGTGTTAATGGACTTAACCTTAGGTGACTTCAGCGACTCAGGGATTGACTTGCTACCGGGGAATAATCTCGTTGACTTGGTATATGCAGACGATATAGTCCTTCTAGGCGAAGACGCTGACGAAATGCAGATCCTTCTAAACACCTTGAGCCGCAATCTACGAATGTTTGGCATGCGATTCGCTCCCGCCAAATGCAAGATGATGTTACAGGACTGGACTACATCGACGCCTAGTTTAAAAATAGGAAGTGAAGTGGTAGAGCACGTTGACCGCCTCACTTATTTAGGAAGTACCATCAGCCCCAACGGGCTGATCTCTGACGAAATCTCAGCACGAATACAAGGGGCTCGTTTCGCATTTGTTAGTTTACGCCGACTCTGGCGTAGACGAGATGTTCGACTATCGACCAAAGGGCGGGTGTACTGCTCATCAGTCCGCTCCGTCCTCCTTTATGGCCAGCTGTGAGACCTGGCCACTGAGAGTGGAAGACATGAAAAGGGGCTAGCTGTCTTTGATCATAGGTGCCTGCGTTCTATTTCCCGTGTAAAGTGGCATAATAAGGTGAGCAACATGGAGGTTAGGCGTAGAGTTCTAGGTAAACAGGGGAAATCAGTCGACGAAGTCGTGAAGCTACAAAGACTGAGATGGTTAGGACATGTGTTACGTATGCCAGGCCATCGCCTCCCTCGACGAGCTATGTTAGCGGATATAGGGTCAGGCTGGAAAAAAGCTAGCGGCGGTCAAACAAAAACTTGGCATCAGTCAATGAAATCCACAACAGTTGGTCTAAGCCACGTAGGAAGGTGTAGACTTCCAGGCTGGGGTCCTCGGGACGGTAAAAATCTATGGTTGGAAACAATTGGTGACATGGCTCAAAACCGTTCTCAGTGGCGCAGATGCATCCACTCCCTGTGACTTATGATCTTCAATGAAACTGTTTTGTATTTCTTTATTACTCCTTTGTCTCACACCTCTGCTCACTGTCTCTAGTATGCTTTTCTTGTACTTTCTTCTCTTGCTTCGCGTGCTACACGGAATGTGGCGACTTGAACTTCCGCACATTCGTGCAAAGTTCTATGTCGAAAACAGACAGACAGACAAACATCGTAAACGCAGATGTACATTTTGTCGGTCAATTATTCGTAATGTGGATGGTTTGGTTGTTGAACTCGGTGATTGTGTACAGCTCCGTTCCGATCGTGATGAGTTATATCTTGGAAAAGTCAGGGAGATTCGTTGTAACGGTGAAAAACACTCACGACTGTGGTGACTGCATGGTAATTTTTAATTCCTATGATTATTATTACTACTACTATTATTGTTGTTATTATTATTGCATATCTAATATTGTTTCCATTAGCCGTAATAATAGTAGTGGTAGTCTCTAAAGTCTATCGAAATACATCCTAAAACATTCAAACTGCTTTCATTTTTAGGCCATTACATTACACTTTGAAACCGGCAGTCTATAATCATAATGAAATCCACTCCTTTTTACCTAATATTTGAGTAGGACTTTATTTGATTAGATTTGGACAGTATTAGGAAATAGGAGGATGGCGGGAACATTTAAAGTTCTGCAGAGGATGTAAGCCAGATGCAGATATCTCACCATCGATTGTTTTTCAACCAAATCATAGACAGTCGTGGATTACTGGTCTCTAGCATATTTGGTCAACGCGAGATCGCGAGGCTCTCGGTGAAATGAACGACATTGTTGAACTCTTCTCAGACTTCTGCTCCCTCAATGATTTGGTGATTGGTGGCAGTGTGTTGAAACACAAAGATATACACATGACGACATGGATTTCACCAGATGGAAACACCAGAAACCAAATAGACTTCATCTCAATTTCAAGAATGTGGAGATGGAGCCTACTGGACACAAGGTCAAGGAGAGGAGCAGATGTGGGTTCAGACCACTATCTAGTACAACGGGTGAAGCTAAAAGCCTCGAGGATAGCTGGAGATAGGCCACAATGCAAGTTCAACACTCAAAAACTGAAGGACACAACCACAAGGACACTTTCACTGCAACTGTCAGAGCAAAGCAGAAAACACTACGCGAAATCACGGAAGAATCATGCGTGGAAGACAATTGGAACTCTCTGAAAGTGATTTTCAACGAAACGTGTTCAACGGTTTTAGGAAGAAAGAAGAGACAAGACAAGGAATGGCTCTCAACGGACACTTGGAAACTAATAGAAGAGAGGAGAATGGTGAAAGAGAAAATGATTCAATGCAAGGTCGGACAAGAGAAAGAGACGTTGAGCTCAACTTACACAGCTGTGCACTGGACAAAGAATTGAAGAAGAGTGCTGGGAAGGACAAAAGACAATTCTACGACAACCTGACCACTGAAGCTGAGAAGGCAGCAGGCAAAAGGGAGGGATGCTAAGAAAGGGTGGTAGGGTTTTGAATAGAATTCACCTAGGCCAAGGGAGAGACAAAGGTTGAACGAATTTCTTTTGTATACAAAGACTAGGATTGTTCACCAGGGTTCCAAGTTGGATCTAGGACATCAGTAGCACATCTCTGTTCTCTGCAGTCCTCTTCAACCGCCTCTACCATCACTCTCAAGCTTTCATTTCCTCCCCGCCTTCGAACTGTCAAATAGTTGCTTCCGCTTGAAACTCCACTGGAGACCATGGCTGGTGCGTAGTGTCACTGAAAAAGGTCTCTTCAGTGTGCATCCAACCCATCTCCACCTCTTTCGGAATATTTGTCTGGGTGAAAAATCTTCGTTGGTTGGTTAGTTGGTTGGTTGGATCACAGAGTTCCTAGTTGCTTGGTAATCCGTCCTGGTCGGCCAACTGATCTTCAGTATTACAGCTAGCGAAGACACCTATTGATAAACGTTTGAATCCTGTTCGAAATACATTTGAGGAAGTTCGCGTCAAGTCCCTGAAGTACATGGGAATGCTGACTAAATTGACAGAGTTGAAAATTCTCATTTTATTCCTCATGTTGACGACTACAGTAGATTTCCACACTGATTTCGGATTAAGGAATCTTTGTGTTGCTTTTCCGATCGTGACTGATATTGGAATCCTCATCGGTGCTTCTTGACTGTGGTTGAAATGATGATTCTGCCTCGATGAGTGGAAGAGGTGACTTCCTTCAAGTTTCTTCCATTCATGCTTGTTTTTCTTGCTGTGGTTAGATAAGTGAGTATCTTCATGTTCACACGTGAAGTCTTATCTTCACTAACTGCGTCTTCTGTCAGTGTGTGGATTTCCGCCTGTAGAAGATCTTCGACTTCATGGAACATTCGAGGTAAACCGTCAGGTAAAATCCAAATCTTCCAAAGTCTTCTAATCGGTCGGACACATGCCTCTCTTCTGATTCCCCGCTAAGCGCTACATAATTCACCTCACTACAATCAGGATTACCATCGTTGGTTGATAGTAGTAGTCAGTCTTGTCTTACTCCTCTCTTCATATGAAGGTAGCCACCAAAAAGCTCATCAGTTTGGCTTCGTGTATACTTGATATCCATCGACAGTAATAGTTCTGATCACGTTCTACACACATAAGATAAAAACACCAGAGACTACAATGTTGTTGTTCAGTGAGACTGTTCTACAATGAATCACCTCAATAAGCAGATTTTTCAATAATAGGAGTGTGTTAGGGTAGAATAACTAATCCCCTCACCTCATCCGAGTTTATTTCACTTCCTACACAGGTATTATGAACCTCGTGAAGCTGGAGTAGATGGTCAATTAATTCAGCATGTTAAAGGTGCCGTATTCGCCACTGAACATGAAGATGAAAACGGAGCAGAATGCATTATACGTCTTGTGAAAATGGCTAAGTCATACGATGAATTTCTGCAAACATGTGGTAGGAAGTTAGAGGAAGATAAATTCCTTTCCATTGATAAAGTAAGTTTCATATCACACACACATGCATACACAGTATATTTCTCATGTGTAGAAATTTCTGAGTGTAATGTCACACGACAAGAAGACTGTGTACATACTCATATTAAACCAATTATTATCACTCTTTTAAGAATATGTCAGCGACCAAAGAGTAGATACAATGTTCCCACTGGATGGAACGTCAGTTTCAAGGTGTGTTAGTGTCAAGGTTTATCTGCATGATTTATTGACGAGTATTTCAACCATTTTGCCGAGTAAGCGAGTGATAAACAGTCTGATAAAGTATAGTGCAGTATAGTATGCCATCTATACGACACTCTGCTGATATGTGAGCGTGAATAATAATGGGAAAATTTGAGACAACTTATGATACTCCGACCGAAGTGATATTGTAAATCAACTCGACTCAGTAGAAACATTTTCAGATGTATATGTATAGTTGTAAAGTCAATAGGTACACATGAACAGATTGTCGTGTGTCTTTAACAGAAAATACATGTCATGTCTTGATGCATGCTGGATTAGATTGGATGGACCAGGCAGGACACTGTGTCTATTACTCTTAAGCAGTGATTGATTGTTCACATAGTTTATAATCGTGATCAACGTTTTCTATATGGGGTGGTGACGAGAAATGTGGATGTCGTCTAAGCGTTATCAGACCAGTCTTTGCACTTAAGTTCCTTGATATTTATATGTGTGTCTATCTTCAGTCATAGAAGTAATCTTGATTCCCTTCATTTTAGGTACCTTCAACATCCATAGGAGAACATTTAGGATATATACAATCCAGTCGATCTGTTGACATGGATGAGATAAGTCTACCGGGTGACGGTGATTACGGTTATGACGGTGATCCCACAGACGTCTTCGATTACTTCATTGCTGGAAAATATGATCCAGTAGAGCGAAAAGTGACTTCCTGGGATCTCCTATTGGCAAGCGAGTTGAATCTTAAACTATACAAAAAGCGATCAAACTCATATCACAATGCCTGAAAATGACTATCACTATCACTGTTATAATAATAATATTCATGGATAATCCCCATCCAGGCATTAATGAAAAGAAAACACGTAGATCAGCGAAGAGTCTCTTTTCGGCGAATTCATTTTCTTAGCTGTACAATCGCAAATATATATGCATTGTTTTGTATGTATGTGTACATTTAGTTTGTCAAACAAAGTTACAATTGGTTAAGGTTACTTTTAACTAAACAAGTGGAGGATGGTAATACAGGTCAAGAAAATTAAGTGCTAATGAAACTAGGGTAGTAAAAAAATGATGAGTTGTCACAAACAGTTGTAATAATAATAGTGAGTTTTACTCAGGATGCACATAGAAACAAAGTAGATAATGCGAAACTATGTAAGAGATCTAAGTGGATACAAGAATTATAATTGCTTAAGGTTATTTTAACTAAACAGGTAAAGGTTGGTAATATAAGTCAAGACCATTAAGTGCTAGGGTAGTAACAAAGGTGATGAGTTGTCACAAAAAAAAAAAAAAAGAAGTTATGCAATAATAATATGAATAGTTTGATGAGTGAGTTTTACTCAGGATGCACATAGAAACAAAGTAGATAATACGAAACTATGTAAGAGATTTAAGTGAATACAAGAATTGTAAGCAATTAAGGAACAGGCGAAGAAACAAAATTAAGTCATCAAAATAAAATAAAAGCTCAAAACAAATCAAAACATTGTTACCATGAGAGTAGAAGTGGTTGAGTAATCTTCTTTTGTATGCACAGCTCCGGTTTTTCCATGTGAATGGCCAGAGCTTCAGCGATGCAAAGGAGACGAAACCGTATTGCCTTTGATATGTTATTCTTGACTCTGTAGATTACTTTGAAGGAGGCGTTCGTTGAAATGCAATGATCAGTGTTGACCAGGTGTTCAATTATCGCACTCCTTATTGCACCAGTATTGCCTTTTCGCAACCATGCTGGATAATGTTCTTGAATTCTCTTGGACAGGATGCGCGTCGAACGACCGATGTACCTGGCTCCACAGCAGCAGGTGAACTGGTATATGCACATAGAAGTGGCCAGATGCGGGATCTTGTCCTTGAGGCTTCTGCAGATCAGTGGGCGACTGGAGAACACTATTCGTAGCGTTGCTGCAAAGAACGTTCTTCTCAGAGATGATGTGATCCTTCTCTTGAGAATATCGCTTGCTAAATCTCCCTTGAAATCCAAATTCATGTAGATTTTCTTTTTAGGCACAGTTAAAGTTTCGTTTCTCCGAATTATTGGTTTCATATTTTTGTCGATAAATCTTATTGGGTATCCATTTTGGATGAATATTTCTCTCAGAATATCTAATTCTGTTTCCAGAGCGTCGGGACTACAGATGCGTCGGATGCGGGTAGCAAGTGATTTAATTAAGTTTCGCTTTTGTTGAATGGGCACCCAGCTATAGAAGCTTGTTAGTTGACCATTCCACGTAGGTTTTCTATGGATTGATCTTCTTAGGCTCCCATCAGCTCTTCTTGTCAGTTCCACATCAAGAAACGGAATTTTTGACTCGTTTTCCATTTCAAGAGTGAATTTTATTGCTGGATGGCAATTGTTAAATGTCTTCAGCAGCAGATTGGGGTCGTTGTTGTTGTCACAAATAATGAAAATGTCATCCACGTATCTTTTATACAGTCGCAAATTGTCGATGCTTGGCTTTAGTGAACCTCTCTCGAGGCTTGCCACGAAGCAATCTGATAGTAGTGGACCCAACGGAGATCCCATTGCAATACCATCCTTTTGTCTGTAGATGGTGTCGTTGAATGTGAAATGGACGTTCAGAGTGCATCTCAATAATAGTTCTTTCAAGTATGTTGTCGGTATTCCAATATCGAGGTGGTTGTCATCTATATATCTGCATATGAAGCAGACCGTTTCTGTGAGTGGGACATTGGTGAAAAGTGACTCGATGTCGAAGGACAGCATAATTTTGTTAGATACATTCGTGTCTTGTATGCACTCGATGAACTGGAAGGTGTCACGGAGCGAGTACGTACATAATTGCATATACCAGAAGTGAGACTGGTAAAGAGGGAAGCTTGGTCATGAGGCCAGTAACTTCATCCTGTAAAAATAAACACCACTGCTACTAGAAATTCAAGCCTTTAGCTTGAAGCCCTATGTTCCACAAAGAACGTGAAGGAATAAAAAATTTGCTATTGATGACTACCTTTCGAGCAGAATTTTCATCACTGATCATATTCATATCAAGGCACTACTCACACAACTTAATGTGCAGCTTAGTCCTATCAGTGAGTTCAGGATCTGTAGTCAGGTCTTTTTGAACTGCTCCTAAGCCTACCATAGTGATTGGTATATTACCATAAAGACTAGTTGTATCCAAACTAACCATTGTTTCATCATTCTCTAGTTGAATGTCATTTAGTTTCTTTTTCATTTCATATGAATTAGTTAGTTAGTCTTGAGTTTGAACGATGAACCTGACAATTTTTTCACTCAAGCATTAGGACTGAATTACCTGAATGAATGAATGGATGGATGGATAGATGGATGGTGGTAAAGAAGTCGAATAGAGTTAAATGTGCACTTCTTTCACAAGTCGACCAATTACTTGTAACAGAGAATTTTCAAAATTGGTTTTAGCTTTAATGAATAGAGTATGATAGACAAACAGATAGACAGACAGACAGACAGACAATATCGTTGTTTGAGTTTCATTCATGACCATGAATATCATATACCGAACCGGTGACCTAATGACTAAGTTCATATCAAACTACTAACAGTGAAGTTGGTTTAGAAATGCATAAAATGACCCTTATAAGCGTGACCTTTTATAACATTACACAATTGTATAGCTTTGAAGTGAAATTGTAAGAAGAGTGTGGGTGTGTGCTTTCCTGGTCTATGTGTTTTCAACTTATTACAAGTGTGATCAGGATCAAGTGTGAGCATGGAAACAAACTTAAAATAACTAGTTTTATAACTGAAAATTTGAAATAATAATTTGAGCTTTTCAACTTATCGCACAAGGGATAATTTTCACACATTAATTTGATGATGGGGGAGAAATTATCGATCAGTATATAGAAATAAACCCGGTGTGTAGATGAGTCATTCTGTTAAGTGATTAAATTTATAACAGAATGACTCAATTCAGTGTTGGTTTGTTTCAATTTGGATCACTGATTGATATCAGTTAGGGAACGATGGGAAAACCAGTAGGGACTACTGCAGGACAACTGTTTCGTCAGCCCAGTTTGGGAGTCACCAGCTGTGTATACATTTAATAATATCCGAGACTAATGTGAGGTATAAACGCATGTTATCCATGGATGTATCATCATCACTCACTAATGTACCGCTTATGGAAACAGTAGATTATATTTGTGGAGAAATTACAGAAAGGCAATTAGACTTAGGAATCCCCTTGTTTAGCCTCAAAGAATTACTTCTTAAATGCACAATGAATGTTCACTTTGTCTTCAATAATTCATACTATCGACAAGTAGATAGAATAGCTATGGGTTCACCATTAGGCCCAATATTAGCTGACTTCTTTCTCGCAAAACTTGAAGGGCATCATCAAGGAGTTTAATTTGTATTACCGATATGTCGATGATACATTTATCTTAGCAGAAAAATAAACTACATTTCCTGGATATCTTGCTAAGTAGGAGAGAAGATGCGTCACTTGGGAGAAGGGTGTACAGAAAAAGCACATTCACAGGGCAATACACACACTTCCTTATTTACGTGCCCGTTAAATATAAAAGGAATGTTGTTAAATGTCTCGCGAGAAGAGCAAGGAATATATGTACGGATGATCTCTTACAAAAGGAATTGGAATATATTCACGATTCCCTGACGGATATGGGCTATCCGAGTAGTTTCATAAAGAAACGTATGAAACCATCATAGAAAAAACCTGAGACTCTGACTGCACGTAAGAAACCTCTATTTACTAAGTTACAATTTAATGGTGACTTATCAAGTGAGATTCTCTTCCAAAGACTTTCAA